AGGGGCACGTACCAGATGGAACCAATCTTTCTCCAGCCTGTCCATAACGACTTCGAATATTTCATACGAGATTTTATCGAGCTGCTGGTGCTTCCGGTCTGCGTTTACCGCATCCAGCCATTCTTGATCTGCGGGATTCTAATTGAATCATGATAGACGCGTAGCGCGCGCACGACGCACCTTGTTCGTCCATATCGTACTCCACCTGACGCTCAAGGTCTATTTCCAACGGTTCTACGACATTCGACAGTGTTGAGTATCCCCGGGCCGCGTTTCCCGACGCGTCCCTCACCTATGTGCCGGATATATTGGTCGGGTCTGTTGAAGTCTGAAAAGTCGTTGTCTACGCGTCGTGTGAGACGATGGTGGCATCCTGCAGGTTGAGAGACACGTACATCCGTACGGGCGTGCTGAAGCATCGCTGACTCCGCTTGGTTGGGTAGACTCGTCGTTGTCGATCTTCTGGAAGGACACTTGAGGCAAGGCTGGCGCAGTTGCCACCACCTCGGCGTGGCCACCGCGACCCATGGTAATGTCGGCGAGTGCACTGCAGGGGCCACTGAAATCCTTGACTTTGCCGTTCCAGTTGTGTGGACAAAATGGGATGTTTACTCGTATTTATTCCCAAAGCTCTCCAATAAAGAAAATAATCTACATTGACTATAATTACAGTTCACCCTCGTTCTTTCCAACGTGAGACGCGGTGGTGGGTGTCGCACTGGCTTCTGTCTCGGCAGAAGGGGTAACACCGTTATCCGGAGTGGCAGGCGTCGCGGTCGCTTCAGGTTCTGGTGTTGGTGTCGCGCTCATGGCCGTGTCGTCTGCGGCTGCCGATTCACCTTCCGGGGACTTGGCTTTCTTCATTGGTGGAGGGGCACCGAAGCCATTGGTGTCGTGGTAATTTGCCGCCGATCCATCCATAATGGCCTGCTCAAAGTCGATGAGATCCGAAAATCCGCCGTGGAGAAGGGCCATGTGCTGAGCCTCCTGCTTGCGTTGGATCTCAAGCTCTTCCTCAGTGGGTTCGTACTCCTCTGCCTTGGCCTCCTCATTGGCGACAGTAAGGTCGGCCGTGCCATCGACAACCGAGTCGAAGAATTTGCTCAAGGAATCAAACTTGTTGAGACCTAGAGAAGTATGTGAGGGTAGTCCGCAATTGGATTCTGGAGACGACAAACCTTCGTAACGGAACGGTTTCGTTGAACCAGGAGAGTAAACAAGGACCTTGGAATCCTTCTTCTCCCCGGCTTCGAGTCCTAACGACACAGAAGACTTTCCTTTCTTGTCGCGATGCGTGCCGAATTCTAAACCCAGACCCTGATATTTGTTGGCCAGCACTTTCCAGAGAAGAGGGACTTTCTTGTCCTTCGTGAGAAGTAGTGTGCGTTTCTGGTTGACGGTCTTCGAAGAACCAGTCAATAAATACATTGCTTTCCATGTCTTGCAGAATTACCCACCTTCTCAATCCACGGAACGATATCTTCAGTCTTGTATAGTTTAGTGTATGCAACAGGCACCCGCCGTGTCACATAATAATAAAGGGCGCTGGCCGTGCGCTCGCCGTTGTCGTACACCATGGGTGCATGCTCTTTACCTTTCGGGAAGAGCTGCATACCTGTGAGCGAATTCGATATATTTAGAGCAACGAACTGACCTTAATAGTCGGGAATCCCTGAACCCCCTGTTCCGCGCATAGACGCTTGTTCTTATCGGCATCACAGTCGACAGCATAAAGCGGAATAAGGGGATGAAGACCCAAAGCAGCCTTGCTGTATTCTGGGGCAAGTCGTTGACAGTGCTAAAGCACATAAGATTCGAGACAGGCAAAATAAATCAACCATGTCGTACCCCACACCAAGGAGCAACGAACGCAACCAAGCTAGTTTGCTGGACAAGATCTCAGAACCAATGCGAGCAATTACATCCATGGAACCCGTACGTTCGCTTTCATAGCCTTTTTGAAAGTCTTTGCGTCTAGCATCTTGACCATAGAGTCCGGAGGGAAGACGCCAGCGGAGACAAAGGCGGGCACGAAGACCAGGGATAGCAGTAGACTAGATGAGAGCATAGTTGCGACCGAAGATGGAGAACAACTGAAGCAGGCTGAGGCTATATAATCGAGGGCAAGATTGCCGACCAATCAGCGACGTGGAAACACGTCAGTGTGACTGCCACTGTGAGACTCTGTCCGCTCTCTTCCTGCCCCGGTTCTCGCGTTATACTCTCAAGGCTGCTCATCCACGCGACCGGTGCCGCAATGCTGTCAATAGCCTAGTAGTATCCGGAGTCCGGTGTTCTCAACAGCCAATTCTCTATTTTATCTCGTCGAAAAAGATCACACCACCGCGATTGTCAACCACACCGAGTCCCATGTTCCGAGCGTTCGTTTCCGCGAGCCTTATCGACCCCATGAAGCTATGTCGTTCGAGGACACGATAAAACGACGTGTAGTTCCAACAATCAAGGAACCTTCACCGGGATTTGGTTGAAACGAATCACTGCACAGTATACTCACTCTCTACGACCAGAGGCCACTATGGCAAAGTCCCAATTCAACGTTTGAATCTTGATCTATCAAGCGATGCTCTGCCGTTTTTCTGCCTGACTTGAGCACCCAGGCCGCGTGCCAACTTATGGATCTAGTCCTCGAGGCCAGTCACCTCCATCACGCTTCTGGTGCATGCAGGCTTATCCTGCTTTAAAACTGTCGACGAGAGTATCTGTCATCAAACCCGCCCCCCATCCCCCTCTTCCGTCGTCACAGGACAACCGTCCCAACATCGGAAAGTATCTACCGAGCAATGTTTCCTGTCGCGGAATCGTTTAACTTTGTCGTTTGCGGATTCGCAACGCTTGCTGCTACCGTCGGCTACGCTTACTCTCGCAAAACTCGTCCTCTTCCTTCGTATGTCGAGAAGAAGACATTCACATATCCCGCTTCAACTTGACATTGTACCAGACGTGCTGTACACCAGAGTCAGACTCCGTCTGGAGATGACGATTTGGTAGCCAAAGTAGCTGTAGGATCTTCTACTCGGGCTGCCCCGGAGAAGCCAGAGGGCTTTGATTTGCCTGGTGAGCAAACAGAAAGCACCCCGCCAAGTGGTATCGTTCCCGAGAAGCAAATGGACGTGGATTCCTCCCCCGAACCTATGGCACAACCCGCTTCCACCGTCGATCCCTCACCTTCACTGCCTGCCAATTTATCCGGAGACAAACAGATGGATGTAGACCTGAACGGCGTCAACGTTGTTCTCAAAGCCATCCCGGAACCAGTCTCCACCGCACTCGTCAACGGAAACGCACTGCTCAAGCACAATTCCCTAAAGCGCAAGCGCACACACGAACCGGAGGACACCGACCCCGTAAGCCTCACGTCTTGCACTTTCAATTAATGGGTTCATATATCAGCGACCAGGATATGGGATACCCGCATGTTCGTTAATAGTTCCATGAATAATCGGCGTTGCATTGATAGCCTCAAATAAGAACCTCAACTCGATCTATCCGCGAAAGAGGCGCAGTGGCTCTGTTTCGGAGGAAGCTTCCCAGGAGGTAAGTACCAAATGAGCCTTTTCCCTTCGGCATTTAATATATTCTCAGCAGGTCGTCATCGCTGCTCCCGTTGAAGCTTTAGAACTCGACGAAGCACACTTGGTAATTTCCCCAGTGGAATCTGGGACCTTGGTGGACGCTACCAATGGAACTGATCCTGGCGTGAATCCACCGTCAGCTCAGGGGGACAAGCCCGTTACGAAGGAAACCATAGTCGCTGTCCCACCTGAGGCAGTCGACGCCACGACAGAGAGATTCGCCTTTCCCAAGACGCCGCCTCGCATCACACACTATCCGACCCCAGTAAGAGAAGTCAAGTAAATTGTCACAAACCACCAACATCTTTACAGCGCACCACACCTTCGTCTCCGGCCTTCGCCGGTTTCGCCGGATCCTCATCACCCTTTTTCTCGAGCTCCTCTTTCGTCGAGAAACCCATCTGGGTGAGCTCTCCGACGGCGCAAGAATCCATAGTAGGAGCTTCTTGCGAACCTGAGAAACCCGCTACGGCGCTTGCCCCCGCTGCCGCAAAACCTCCAGCTCCGCCCACGCAACCTCGTTCGTAAAGCCCTGTTTACCTATACACTCGCCGTCATATCTTGCTACAGACTCCACTGGAGAGGAAGACGAGGACATCACCCTGGAACTCAAAGGCGTCAAATTATATATCAAACGCGGTGAAGCCAACTTCTCCGGCGCGATGACGGGCAACATCAAGCTCCTCTCGCACAAGGTTACCTCTGCCAAACGCCTGTGTTCGTTCTTCCCTTCCACCCCTTGTTGGTTTGTATTGTTGTTAATCTTACCGACAGTGTTCCGACGAGAACCTTTATGGAAGGTCTCAATGAACGTTCGGATGCAGCCTACTGTCCGGTGTACGTTCGATGCGCAGGAAAACATCCTTCGTGTCGCATTGAAGGAGATGCCAGAGAAATCTGGGTCGGTGGAGGGAGAAACTGCGGGACCGCAGACCGTTATATATGCGTTCAAGGTAAGTCGTTGTTTTGTTTGTGAGCTCATTGTTTCTTATCCAAGTTCAGCCGGGCCGGTCTTGTCGAAGGAGCGATTTCGAGGAATTTGCACAGGCGCTGTTGGCGCAGGCACGGCAAGAGGGCCAGTAATTAAATTGTTATGGCATTCTTGAAAGCAAAGCTTCTGTATAACTTCAAGTCACCATGTATGAGCATTGTCATCGCGAGATATGGATAGAATTGCCATGATAATCTAGGAGAGAGGGCATGGGTAGTAGACTAGTCAGATACCACAACGAACTGTTGATCTGGGAGTCAAACCCAGTTTCATTCCTCACTACAAAGTTTCCGTATCAGCTTCGTCGTCTCAAAATATGGGTATAATGGGGGCCAATTGCTGAAAACGCAGGACAGAGTGCATGGGGAGACTTGGTGTGAACACGAGGACGAAATCAATGAAAAGGAAAAAGAATACTCTCGACCTGGGAGTCGAACCCAGCTTTCGCGCGATCATGGAACATGACAGGCGCGTGTACTCAACCGATATACTAGTCGAGATGTGTTAGGGTTCTCCACAAAGCATATACAGCAGTTGGCTCTGGAGGGCAAGGTTACTCTAGCTTCAAAATCAATTTGCCTTTGATTTGCCGCTTGTGTCCTGTCCATTTCTCTACCTCTCCACCAGGCACCATGGGGTACTCTTCACGCTGGGACCAAACCCGACAAGACAAGCAAGAAACGAAATCTGGAGCTGGTGAGATAGCATCGAGGCTACAACAAGTCGATGCCGAACTCACCTTTTTACTGGCTTCTGAACCTCAACCTACCTTGGTGTAATGGCTACCATGGCGCATATAAAGCGGAACAACTTTCAGAGAAACATTCCCGGGAAGATGATACTAGTCGTCGTTCTCGGCATACTGACCGCCACTCTGAATCTCGGTATCATGATGCTGCTAATGAACATGAGCGCACAAGGTCGTCGGAAAGGTCAGAGGTCAGTCCCAGTTATCATTCCATATTTCTGTCTGTAGACTTGGTTCCAGCGTATACGGTCTCGAAGGGGTCGAAGTGCGGAGTCTGAGTCTCATTCGCGATACGATGAACAATATTCAGTGCGTGACATCTTGGATCTCATTTACTGAATATTCATGCGTTTGGTGGAATAGCGGCGTAGCCCTAGTCCCCGCCCAGAGAATGACCATAGTCGCAAGGTCAGTGCTTTTCAGGCAATTTTCGAAATATCATAACCATTTCGTGCAGCGCCGCCACAAGCGTTCATTGAGCCGAAGCTCTGAACAACGAGACCACCGTAACACCGACTCTGTGGTACGTCGGACTCTGTAATAAGCAGGATAAATGGATTTTGACCTCGCAAGGTGCTGTCATGCAAAACATAAATCTTGGACATCAACAGGATCGAGACGACCACTATGCGCGAGATAAACACTACGACGATTCTTCTTCTCGTGACAAGAGAAGCAGCAAGAGAAAGAATAGGCGCGACGAATCCGAAGACGGCGAGAGTGACTCCGGGTATCATCGAAAATTGGGAAACAGTGGGAAACGCAGAAGCCGCGACAAAGACGATTACAGTGAAGATGAAGAGGAGAGGAAGCGACGAAAGCGGAGAAAGGAGCGCGAGCGAAGCAAGGATAAGGAGGAAAGAAGGAGCGTGTTGACTGGCAAAAAGGTAGAATCCTTGAGACTTTCAGCGTGGGCACACGAGCGCTCATGTTTAACCAAGATTAAACTCAAAGTGAAAAAGGAAAAGGGCGACGACGAGCGAGAGGCGAATCGGCAGGACTTGCTGCAATTTCTGAATTCCATGTAATATCTTCGTAAAAGTTGTTTGGAAACGCAGTCGCCGGAGTTGCGTGGATGCTCGGAAGAAATGGAGATGACGGCAAGAGTCTCGATCGGGTTAGGGTTTGCAAATTATTGGAGCCGTAGAGACGCGCGACCACCTCTCCAAAGTCTAAAGTTAACGGCCGTTTTACGCGTTCCTCCTGCACCGTCTCTTGTTCCTTTACCACCACCTCTTGTACACCCAGCGCAGGCAGCAAAATGGATACCGACCTCATTAAGCTGGTCAACAAGCTCCAGGATACCTTCAATAACCTGGGTATGCTGCATTTCGCAAATTATAATGTGACTTTGTCCAACGGTACAATTCTTCAGGAGGGGAGCTGGACATGCCCCAACTTGTAGTTGTGAGTTAACTGAGCGGGGAAGCGTACCAGGTTCAATGACCTTGTTACTAGGTGGGCAGTCAATCAGCAGGAAAGTCCAGCGTTCTCGAGACGTGAGTGGATTGCGACCTTTAAGGTCTCTTTCAACTCGCTCTAAAACTTTCACCGCGCAGCATTGTTGGACGGGACTTTCTTCCCCGAGGTCAAGGCATCGTTACGCGACGACCCCTCGTTCTGCAGTTGATCCACACACCGGAGTCCACAGACCCATCTCCCAGCAGCCCGACATTCCGCGAATGGGCGCAATTTCTCCACATAGACAAGAAATTCAGCGACTTCAACGACATTCGCAAGGAGATTGAACAAGAGACCTTTCGAGTGGCAGGGCAGAACAAGGGTGTTAGCAAGCTACCTATATCGCTCCGGATTTACAGTCCAGATGTTCTCGACCTCACGTTGGTGGATTTACCCGGTTTGACAAAAGTGCGTATCATCCGTTGCGCATTGTGTTCAGAAATTTAGCCGAATAAAGATTCCTGTTGGAGATCAACCCAGTGATATTGAACGGCAAATTCGCAATTTGGTGCTGGATTATATCACGAAGCCTAACAGGTGCGCTCACTGCGCCTTGTCCTACCTTCAGGTCCCTTACGCTCGGTTCATTTAGCGTGATTCTTTCCGTGTCGCCAGCCAATGTCGACTTGGCCAATTCCGAATCTCTCAAGCTCGCCCGCCAAGTTGACCCTCAAGGACGGAGGACAATTGGTGTTTTGACGAAGCTGGATTTGATGGACGCTGGAACCAATGCTCTGGACATTCTAACTGGCCGCGTCTACCCGCTCAAGCTTGGCTTTATCGGTGTAGTGAACCGCAGTCAGCAAGACATCAATGGAGAGAAGAGCATGGACGCCGCGTTGGCCAGTGAGACAGAGTTCTTCAAAAATCACCCAGCATACCGAAATATCGCCCACAAAAACGGGACGAAATACTTGGCAAGAACTCTGAATCAGGTGCGATTCGCCGACTCTCCAAGGTCTTTGGTATATTTAAGGTCATACAGGTTCTAATGAACCATATCCGGGACAAACTCCCCGATATGAAGGCTCGTCTGAACACTTTAATGGGCCAGGCGCAGCAGGAACTGAATTCGTTCGGCGATTCAGAAAGCTTCGGAGACCAGGTCCAGGTAAGGTCAACCCTGATTCTCTCTATTCAAACAAACTTACGCTCGCCGCAGCAAGGAGCTCTCATTTTACGATTAATGACCCAGTTTGCCCGCGACTTTGTTGCCTCCATTGAGGGAACAAAAATTGATGTTTCCACCAAAGAGCTTTCTGGGGGTGCCAGGATATTCTATATATTCCACGACGTGTTCGGGCAAGCTCTCGATTCCATTGACTCGACAGCCAACCTCGACAACCAGGACATCCGCACTGCTATCCGCAATTCCACAGGGCCTCGCCCCAGTCTCTTCGTTCCTGAGATTGCGTTCGATCTCCTGGTGAAACCCCAGATCAAACTACTGGAGGCCCCGAGTTTGCGCTGCGTGGAACTCGTATACGAGGAGCTGGTTAAGATCTGCCATAACTGCACGAACGCGGTGCCTACATATTCTTTGCTGGTGGAATGTTGGCGACTGATTTTGATCCTGTAGGAGCTGCAACGTTTCCCGGGCTTACACGCAAAACTCATTGAAGTTGTCTCTGAGTTATTGCGGGAGCGGCTCGGCCCAACATCGGAGTATGCACAGAGCTTGATCGCCATACAAGCGGCGTACATCAACACCAACCACCCCGCTTTCATTACGAGCTCCGCCATCGCTGCTCAGCATGCCAGCTCACCTCCTGCTCGGCAAATGCCTTTGCGCGTGAGTCCATGCACCCATTTTCCAACCGTGCTTATCGCTCAAACTATACATGTTAGCCCGCATCTACAGAGCCCACCAACGGCACTGGTACAGATGAGGACGCAGAGTCATCGGATGACAATGGTCTTCCCAATGGCATCTTTCCTCCTCGTAACAACGAGCGCTCAGTATCCGCCACGATACACGACCGAGGGCGGACATCAAACGGTTCTACCCCTACTCTCCCCATCGGACCTACGTCAAGAAAGATCCCAAACCCGACGCGACCGCACTCCGCCCTGGCACAGACACACCGCGGGTCACCACCGTCCGCTCGGGAGACGTTCTTGAATTATTTCTTTGGGCAGAATGGACCGGGTCCACTTCCAGGATCCAGTGTGGAGTCTGTAGGGCTGGGGCACCGAACCCGGACAAGCGGCCCCGGCGCTATCGTTCCTGTGGGGCGCGATGTTTCTGCGGCCGAGGGCTCTACCACGATGACGATCGCTTCTGGACTGACTAACCAGCGGGACGGAAGCAGCGCTGCCTACGACATGAAGAGTCTGGGAAAGCACATTGAAGCCGTGAGTACCTCTTGAATGGCCGTGCCAGCTCCCACCCACAAATTCGCAGATTCCCGCCGACGGAAATCACCTCACACTCAGAGAAGAGATGGAAACGTCTCTCATCCGCTCCCTCATCGCCTCGTACTTCGGAATAGTGCGACAAACTATTCAGGATCTGATCCCCAAAGCGATAATGCACCTTCTCGTCAACCACACGTCGTACCATGTGCAAAACCGTCTCGTCGCGTCGCTCTACAAACCAGACCTGTTCCAAGAGATGCTTCACGAGGATGAAAGCCTTGTTGCAGAACGCCAAAGAGTAAAGGCGTTACTGGACGGCTATCGCGAAGCGTTCAAGATTCTCTCGGACGTCAATGTCAAGCCTGCATAAACTGGTCTCGCTTCTCTGCATTAAAACTTCACGCCCCCTAATACACACTTACGCTACGCATACACACGTTATGTTGGATATCTAGATGATCTCAAACCTCGCTTTCTGGTTAGCATTGTTGAAACAAATTGAATGAAAATACATCATGCCAAAAATCGCAAGATTGAGTAGAACTGCGTCAGTTTCCCAAAGCAACAAAACCAAGAATGAATTATTGTGGATGAAACAAAGGTAGCCATGTCTATCTCATGAATACGACTCTCAAGCCGCGCCGTCAGGGCACGCTGAGTGTCCGAAGGAAATGTCATCGAAATACGGCCCTGAAGGGAAGTGTACTGATTAGAGACAGTCGCAGCAGTTGAATTGACAGCATACCCTTGTGGTTGGAGACGCTGGTTTTGAGCAATGAGTTGCCCTGGGCGCAGTTCTCATTATCTTGCCCGGGGCACTCAACAAAGTTGTTCTGCGAGTCGTCGACAATGTGGACTTCGCCTAAAGGAGAGATCAGTCGGAATCGGGGTTTTTCATAATGAAGCGCCTGACCGCCGCTGTGCTGGAAACCG